TAAAAAACATTTATTTATTTTTTACAATATGTGGCCAATCAATTCAAATGATGACCCTAGACTTATTGGAGGCTAAAAGTCTTCCAACATGGTTCTTCAGACAACAGAGAAAACATTCCCTGTTCGATTGGTTCTGAATGATTCCAAATATGAGAGTCTTGGTTGTGGCTACAGCCGGCGAGCCTGTTTCAACTGTTATCTATGTCCCTATCCAGGGATTGTGTTAATAAAGGATTCCTATGTGCAAATCACCTCAACAGCCTTTTAGTCCAAGGTCGGTGACAATCCATTAGGGGGAATATGTCTTCAGCATCTTGGAGTTCAGAGAGCCTTTCAGATCCAAGGAACCTCTGTATTAGTTCAATGAACAACTGGGTGATATTTTTTTCCACAGATTTGGTGTCTGCTCATAGATGTATGGGAACTGCTCACTGCTGATGGAGGTACCTCTAATTGAGGATTCAGCGCTGGACTCCCCAGAATTTCCTGGCTGACACTGTAAGACCAAGAAGCCTGGACAACAATTAATGTTTTCTTATCCAGAGGTTTCCTGTGGATCAGTAGCAAGTGGGTTATCCAGATCTCATCCTGATGGTAATCCCTAAGAGTACAGACACTCCTTGTCAAGAAAACTTTCTAAGGGAGAGAGCAATGGATATTTTAATGCATACTGTATGCTTCCTTCAGTCCAAATGGATTCAGGCTCCTAGATGGTACCCACAATTATCCGGGTAGGGTTCCCTCTCTTGTAAACTCTGACCCTTCTAGTCATCCTTTATATTCGGAGCTTATACAGTGGATGCTACATCCAGAAATACCTTAAGCGACTTGGAGGTTGGAAGTAGAGTCTGCCTTGCCTGGATTACTCATCTACAGTCAGAGTGTTTGTTGAATACTGGAGCACCTACTAAACATCACATTATATTCTAGTGTGGAATAATTTCATAGACTTCGCCAGCTTATTAGGTTTTGTCTCTCTTCACCTTGCCATGATAGATACATTGGACTTTCTTCAGGCAAGCAATGTGTACTTAGGTGTCGGTACCCTCTATACAGGTGAAACTCGAATAATTAGAATATCGTGCAAAGTTCATTTATTTCACTAATGCAACTTAAAAGGTGAAACTAATATATGAGATAGACTCATTACATGCAAAGCAAGATAATTCAAGCCGTGATTTGTCATAATTGTGATGATTATGGCTTACAGCTCATGAAAACCCCAAGAACCCCAAATCCACAACCTCAAAAAAGTAGATTATTACATGCAATCAATAAAACAAGGATTGTACATAGAACAATATCGGACCTCTGAAAAGTACAAGCATGCATATGTACTCAGTACTTGGTTTGGGCCCCTTTTGCAGCACTTACTGCAATTACTTTTGCACGATATTCTAATTATTCGAGTTTCACCTGTATATCAATCCTCTGAGACACGAGGGGTAGCTCATTAATTGATACGCCAGCTCTTAAGGACTTGCACAAGAATTCACTCTTCAGAAGAGTCTCTTTCCCTTAGAATCTAAAGATAGTGCTGAATATGTTCTTCCTTCCTCGACTTCATCTAGCTCACACTTACTCAGTATGGGCAGTAACATGTAAAATAGTTTTTCTTACAGCAATCTCCTCGGGGAGGAGGGTGTTGGATAGTCAAGATTAGCCTGCAAACCCCCTTATTGCTACCATTTCACGGTCAAGTTTTTTGTTTCAGCTCATGCCCGAAATGTGGCTGCTATGCTGGGGAAGAACATGGAGGTTACCCTTTTCTTCTTTCAGGTCGATCTGTTCATCTTTCTGGTGCTTTTAGAAAGTATCTTTCTGCGTGCACTAGGTCACATTCATTGTGCCTGATCAAGCAGATGGAGCCACAGATTAAACTCTACTGACACATTGCAGTAGCGATATCACTTTTCCAAAAAAGCTCTACCTTTTATCATTAAAAAGCTGTCCATGAACTCCAGTCAAGTGACTTTGACACCGCTTTTTTCTAAAAGTACTCATTACCTATCATTTCTTGCCATGAGCGAAGGATGATTTCATGTTTTCAGGAGGCTTGGTAAGCAGTCGCAGTGAGCCCCAGTGGCCTAATGGATAAGGCAGCCCTCTTCTCTGACCAATCAGGAAGCTGGGAGGCGGGTTGTTAGTAAGCCAGGCTGCCTTGCAGCAAGTGAAGCCGGCTTCCTAGCCAATCAGGAAGCCAGGAGGAGGCTCCATTTTCCCTAGGCACTTGCGGTCAGAGGGAGATCTCCCTCTGACCAGAAATTCCGGTATCGGAGGTAACTGCCGGAGCATTTGAGCGAGTTTTAGGTAAAATACTTGTTATCGGTGCATACCTACTTGTGTCTTTAAACTGGGGACTCATTGCTCAACAATTTTCCTTGTAACCTCAGATCCTGTGTTCTTCCTATTCAGGAAAGTAGTAGAACATCACCAGCACAGCAAAACGATAGTTGCAGCAATTAAATATCCATTTATTGAAGAATGCTGTCCCTCATATGCAAGCGCTTTCGCGGCCACATGTCATTTCTGAGCCTGATGAAGGGGACCCTGTTTGGCCCCGAAAGCGCTTGCATATGAGAGTCAGCATTCTTTAATAAATGGACTCTTAATTGCTGTAAATATCGCTTTGGTGTGCTGGTGATGTTCTTCTACTATCTGCATGTGGTGGCGCCATCCGCAGTCATTTTGAGCACCTGCTGGTATATTCACATGGGAATCCTGGTAAGGTGTGCTACAAGGATCCTTTTTCTTCCCATTCAGCGTGCACATTTCCTGTGTTTGGTGCCCTTATTTTCTGGCCAGGGGACCATCCTGTGTGTACACCACTCTAGTTACAATGACAGTGCACCTGGCTCCCACCTGTTCCAATTACACTAACAGTGCCTGTAGATGGAAGCCAGATGCATTTTCAGTGTCAATGGAATGGTGGATAGGAGGGAGCCAAGTGCACACACCATTTTAGTGACACTGACACCTACGAGCAATGTTATCACTGGAATGGCAGATATGTCACAGCCAGGTGCACTGTCAGAGTCACTGTAATGATGAATAGGAGAGTGTCTCTGGAAAGGTGCATGCTCCTGGCTCTCACCTATTCACCTTTATAATTACACTGACAGTGCACCTGGCTATCACCTACAGGCACTGTGTCACTGGAATGGTGGATATGTGAGAGCCAGGTACACACCCCATTTAGGTGGCAGCTTGGTGCACTGTAGGTGTCTCTAGAAAGATGTGTGCACCTGGCTGCCACCTACAGGCACTGTTAGGCCTCATTCACACCAGACAGTGCGTTCCGGCTAGAACACACTGCATCCCATTCCAGGTGGCTCAATATATTGTGTGTGAAGTGAATGGAAGCGTAGCCACGCCCTCCGGCCGCACGGGAATGCAAGGCAAATCAATGCCTGCGATGCGGTCCAAACAAAATGCTGCACACTGCTGCCCATAGATTTACATTGGGCAATCCGATCGTGCCCGTCTCAAAAACCGACAGGTGGACCTAATCGGGCCTTATTGGAATAGAGGATACGCAGTGCCGTAGCTAGCTCCTTTTGCGCCCGAGGCAAGAACAGAAAATTCTGCCCCTGCAACAGACATGTGCAGTAAGTGATGTCATGCGCCCCGCCTCCAGGATGGCGGCGCGCATGCGCAGAGTGCGCTGGTGGCCAAATCCAAAATAGCATAAAAATGTTTTTGTTTGACGAAACTAATGAAAACATTTTTAGTTTCCGTTCATTTCGTCCAAAACTAATTTTTAGTCTTTGCACATGTCTAGTAATGTGTGTGTGGGGTGTTTTTGTTTTTATTTATTTTTTCTTATAATTTTTTTCACTGTTGGGGGGCTTCAGGGCAATATCAGGGGTCTAAAGAGACCCCTGACATTTCCCTTTTGAAATAGAAAAAGAGATTAAGGACGAAGAGTCCTCTGCACATACAGGTGGGGAGAGCAATACGGATCCGAGGAGAAGGTGGAGCCTGTGCCGCTCCTCCTCTCCATGCCGAGTCGCGGCTGTGTTGGCCACCTGGCACCCTTGTTGCCAATGGCGCCCTGTGCTCGCCATGGCAACAGGGGCAAGGGGGTGCAGCCAGGCTGGCCCTGGCTGCGCCCCCTCTCAGCTGCACCTGAGGCGAGTGCCTCACTCGCCCCATGGTAGCTACAGCCCTGAGGATACGTGAGAGCCGGGTGCGGACACTGTTTCATTGTGTTTCCATTCTGAGACGGCGCACCACATTTGCATGCTGCGTTTGCAGCCTGTCCCCATTGAGTTCGATGGGGTCCTGAACCTGCAACAAACGCTGCAAAAAAACTCAAGTAGCAAATTTTGCAAAATGCGGAGGGAAAAAAAAGCACGTCTGCAGTGCCATTAGAAATGAATGGCAATCGTGTTTCGGGCAATGCACTCTTTATGTGCGTGTTTGGCGTGCTTTCACAGAACGCACAGGTGTGAATGCAGTCTTACAGGTGTGAATGCAGCCTAGCAGTACCTGTGCACTGTCAGTGTCCCTAGAAAGGTGTGTGCCCCTGGTTGAACTTCATTTTTCCTTAAATCTCTATATTAAAATTCCAGTGATAAGACTTCTGGTACAATCAAAAATTGAGGTATTTCCCACCTCAGCATATTACACAGCTTCAAAACTCCCTCAAAAAATAATTTGCTCGTCCACAGCTGTTTTTTAAAAACTATTATTTCGATAGTTAGAGTATCTATACACGTATCTAAGCAGCGTGGACTTCTTCCTTACCACCGTCGTTTCGTTAGTCATTTGACGGTACCAAACGCCGCAATCGTTTCCACAGCTTGGAAACACAGAATCTATGCCCGAACTTCCCGCGCTCACCGTCTGTCACGTGACGCCGCGCGCACGCTGAGGCGCGCACGTACGCAGCACGCTGTAGGCCCGGAGCACCGGAGAACGGAGAGCACAAGCGGCACGGAGGGGGTCAGTGGGCGGAGCTTAGATCGGTGGCTGTCGCGATGATGACGAGGGATAAATATAGAGACACAAGGGAGCCGTGATACGGGTGAGCCGGTTGTTCGCGTAGGGTGGGGTATGGAGTAGCCGTGACAAAGCACAATTGATTGCTATGTCAACATGGTGCTGTGTCTGTGCAGGGAGCGAATCCCTGTTCTAATACAGGACACCGTAGTGTGTGGCTCCTCCACATCTATGTCTGTTAGGGCTCATTCACCTGGATGTAAAGATTCCTGGGAGCAACAGTATACTATACTATGAGGGCTCTTGCACAGGGGCTCCGACTCCCGTTCTCTGTAAATGCCAGCGTATTCCTGCTGGCATATGGCCTTACGCTAAAGTCAATGGCCATACGGTGTTGTCGGCGGGTATACGCTGGAACTGCGTAAAGTTTATGCCCGTGCGCAGTGCTGCCGTATACCCCCTGACAATAGCATACAGCCATTGACTTTATTCTAAGGCTGTAAACTGCACCCGGGGCTTTCCACCAGCTGGAATATGCCGGCATGTACAGTGCACGGGAGCCAGCGCCTATGTGCAAAAGTCTTAATGTTAAACATGGGACAAAGCTACAGCGTATTTTACCTGTATGGATGTAAATGATTGCGCTAACATTTATATATGTGTACAGCATTAAAGCTGAGTTCCGAAGGGAAAAAAAGAAAATGCCTGTTGGTCTAGGGTACCTGTAACATTAGACTTTTACTTACCTGATCCCCACTCCTGCAGGCTCCCTCTAAAGGTGCCCATACACCTTACGACCATCGCAAGACTTTTGTCTTGCGATGGTCGTAAGCTTATTAAAAGCTCGTACGATCTGCCCATCTTGCACAGGCAGATCAGACTTGTGATCATCGAAAGCCCGCACCGCTGAGGGGCGGGCTTCCGATGACCGCAATGCAGAACGGGCAGTGTGCGCGTGCGCACACCGGCCCGTTTCGCAGCTGTCGAACGAGCAGGCTAGAAACCCGCCGACAATCGTACGATTCTCGGCGGGTTTTCGAGCATGCTGGTTCGACAAAAGACGTGCGACCGTACAGTAGAAACGGTCGCACGTCTTCATTCACACTGCTCGATTCTCGTATGATCGCGGGATTTCCTGCGATTCTCGTACGAGAATCGAGCAGTGTATGGGCACCTTTAGTTACACGATCGGCATGCGCAGCCTCTTCCTCACTACGCTCTGGCGGTCAGAGGCCCGTTGATGTCATCAAGTACAATTCAGGATTCATAGCTCTATATTAGGACGCCGAGGGACAGTGTACAAAGTGGAGTGTAGGGAAGACAAGGAGAGTGGCGATTGCCAGTGGAGTGGGGATCAGGTAAGTAAAACTGCATTACACAGGAACCCTGGACCCTTGCAGTGTTGGGGCAGCCCCACTACAAAGGGATATGCTCCACCCCGACCCCCTCGATATAGGCTTTGAAGGAAAAATATAGGTAGAGTGAAATCCACTCATCCCCATAGTTAGGACCAACGTGTAAAACTGCAGCTGTCACACATTGGGTCTATTGATCGAGAGGTGAGCGATCACAAACTGCTGGTCACATTGTCATCACATTCGTTGCCCGCTGAAGGGACCCTATGCCCCCGGTAAAGTAATTTGCTTTGTGATCATGTGAACATGCGTCTTTAAAAGACGTGCTCGTCTCACTGTTGAAATGCTGGTGACTTTTCCTGATCTTCATTATCTGCAAACGTGTGACCAAACGCTTGTCAAACCCACCACTTTGGGATATTTATAGTCAGGAGCGAGATAGCATATTAATGCGTTGCTTTTGACACACTATTGATGTTGACATGTCGGCGCTGAATCAGTCATGCTGTGCATGCGCTACCACTCATTCAGGGATGGTATGTCCACATCGATAATGTGTAATCAGTGGTGCAGGTGCACACATTTAAAGGAGAACTATGAGGTGAGTGCTTTTCACTCACCTCATAGTTCTAGTCGACCTGTGACAATGAGACTGTCACAGGTCGGCTCAGTAGATCGGAAAGTGAGCAAACACATACCAGTGTTCGCTTACTTCTCGATCCTGTCACGGCTGGATTCCCCGCTCCGATCCACCAGCGCTGACTGGCGGAACGGACGGGGGAGGGGGCGGGTACAGCTGGCTCTGCCTCTACAGAGGCAGAGCCAGCTGTCACTAACGCAGCTGGGCGGATCTCGACATCGATGTCGGGATCCGCTGCAGCGTCTCAGTATACCGCGAGCTGTAGCTCGCGGTATACTGAGCCTAGGGTGACGGGAGGATGCTAGTTTGTGTCCTCCCGTTACCCTAAGGAGAACTATGGGGAAAAGCCCTGACCCCATAGTTCTCCTTTTAAGGCTGACTCAATTTAATTGATAATGAAAATCGTCAATTCTCATTGTCAATTAATTGTTGTGGATCCCCTGCTTCTCTTCTCTGCTCTGGGAACTGGTGTTTCATCTTCCCTCCCACTGGCTGCCGCCAGAAGGGACACGCGGATCTACCTACTGGCGCCCAGCTGGGTGGAGAGAACAGTGACGGGGCCAAGTCAGAAGTGGGGCAGTGCAGAGAGGAGAGCTGTGGGATGATTAGCAAACATTTTACATATTTGCTGATCGTTCCTTGTGTTATTCAATCATCGCAGTGGTCAGTACTGATGACTACAATATTTGTAAATAATTGAGCACATAGTATCCAGATACTTTGTCCCCAATTATGAATGAACAGGAAGTGTATCTGTGTGTACATAGTTTCTGTTTACTAACTCGAGCTAGCCTCTGCTCTTGAGTGCTTCCTGTTCATTGAGTGCTAGGGCTGCAGAAAAAGAGATTGAGGACTCTGTGTCCTCATTTTTTTTTTTATTTCACAAGGGAAATATCAGGGGTCTGTTTAGACGCACATTGTTGACATGTCAGCCCTGAGCAGTGGCTGCAGCCAATAGGGTCTATTTACACTAAATCTGTGTAAACTTAGCACAGACGTTACATGTGTACAGCTTGTGGAGGACCCGCAAGATCCTATGTTCATTCATATGCTCATCTGAATGAGCCCTTCTTTTGCAACAGACATAGAGCATGTTATACAGATGTGTCAATTTGTACATTTTCGAGCTTGGTATGTTTTTGTTGCTAATAGGCTACATATCTTGGGTTTCTATTTTAATTAGGCATTTCCTCAGTTTCCATTTAGATATTATGTATGCAGGTACATTTGTGTGGTATCTGATGTACCAAAATATATTTTTTACGGTGTTATGCTTTGGTAATGGTGGCACACAAGCGCAGGTCACTGATCACTGGGACCTGGTTCTGCGGCATGTCTCTGTGACCGCACAGGTATAGACTGCTGCTACGTGTTGTTTGTTTCCTTCTGATAAATGTTTTTTTAAACCCTTTAGCTCCAATAATTTTTAGTCACTAATCTGGAATAAGAATTTCTGATATTTCTCTTCTTTTTTCCCATGTGTAAACATCTCTATCATTGGCTTAGAATGCATTAAAGCCAAAATGGCATGTTGCCTGAACAACAACACCCCACTTTCCATAATACCAATTTTTTGTAGTCAAAACTAATTTCGTTTTTTCATGTCATATTTTTCTTAATTTAGGTGTCATTTTTATGTTTATAAATTGATCTTTTTCATGAGAATAATGTAGTTAATATAACACCCCTATCTTAGGGAGTTGAACTTTCCTGTGGAATCATGTTTAGCTAACCAGATTTCAGTTACCCGAGTCATATTTCTGGAAAGCAGTAGTTACCAGTGTGATAGCATAATACATTTTATATACTGTTTTCATTTACAGGTTTTGACAATACTCTGGGCCCCATGCCTGGGGTCTGTAGTGTGGCCAGGATGTCACACAGGACAAGTGAGCGAGACCTGCAGTCTTCAGCACGTAGAATGGGAACATCCCTCCTCTTCCAGTTGTCTGTGCATGAACGAGAGTTGGACTTGGTATTTCTTGATCACAGCTATGCCAAGCCTTGGAGTGCCCACCCTGATGCCAGCAATGCTCGTCCCACCCGTACCCTTTTCATCACTCCTCGTAGACAGCAGGAAAGTGCCATGTAAGTTTTAGATTCTTTGTAAAAGACAGCATATTTGTTAATAAATGGGGCTCTTATTTCCTAGGTGAAACAATATTGTGATTAAAGCAAGTTTTAAGAAAATAAACACACACAGACAATATTCCAAAATAGCACTGATGCTAGTAGTCGTTTTGCAGAATTGTGATCCTGTAATTTTTACCACTTTTGCAGAGAGGTCGATGTTCCAATTGATGTTGAAACTGTCACTCCCGTTTCCATGCCATTGTATGATAACCAGAAGGCTAGAACTGTTATGAATGAGTGTGAGCGTCACGTGATCTTTGTGCGAACAGACACTGAAGCTCCACCACCACCTGATGACTGGGAAGATCACCTTAATAGGTTAGATTTTGATGCTATATCAAAGCAAATTTATAAATTGGCATATTTCATATAATGTATTTAGTTCTCATCCTTTTTAATGTGGTTTTATTATCAATTGCTGTTAGGACTGGTTGGAGTACATCACAGAATAAGCTTTTTAACAAGGTTCTGAAAGCTTTACAAGCTGACCGTCTTGCTCGACTTGCTAATGATGGTGTAAGTACTATTTACTTTCTGCCTTTTTTCATTGAACTTGCATAGCGTTTTGACAGGGCTGGGTTTTAGCTGCTAAATCTACCATCTTAAATGTGTATCCTGAAAGCAGTCCTTGATTATTGCCCCTTCAGGCAACCAATGAGCCAGTGCTGAGAAGAATTGCTGTGGACAAGTGTGCCCGTCGAGTACGTCAAGCTCTAGCCTCAGTATGTTGGGACACCAAGCTAGTGCAGTGGCTACATGGCACATTGGTAGAAACACTCAGCCTACCACTGCTTGCTGCATATCTGGATGCTCTGCAGACATTGAAAGGCAAGGTACTGTTTCATTTGGAAAGAGTAATACTGTAAAATAATGTCTGTCCATGTGATGTGGTATATCAAAAGATTTGGCTAGCTTCTGGTCATGTATAGAATATATGCAGTGTATCTAGTAAGAACTTAACGTCTCTTGTCTCTACAGGTTCCAGCACTTATCGATCGAATGCTCCTAGCCACGAATGTCAGGGCAGGAGGAGCAAGTGCAGAAGCATTATCTCTACTATTGAAGAGACCATGGGATCCAGCAGTTGGAGTTCTGTCCCATAACAAGCCTGTAAATATCCATTTCATGTTCACCTTTTTTTTCCTGATTTTTATTTTCACATACATCTTGTTGAATAAATCTTTTATTTTTTTTTTCAGAGCAAACTCCCAGGTTCCCCTCTCATCCTCATCGCTCCTTCAGGGCCAACTAATTCAATATTTCCCACTTCACGGCGACACCGGTTCTGGCAATCCCAGCTTTCCTGTTTAGCCAAGGTTAGTTTTAATGCACTCATTGTTACTTAGGAATGTATTTGTATGATGCTATTATGCATTTTATTTAACCACTTCCTGACCAATGACAGAATTTTTCCCTCACCGTCAATCAGTTCATTAATGACCAGTGACAGGATTATCCCATCATACGTTACAATGAGCGCTGGTCCACGAAGGGACCAGCAGCTCATTGAGTTACTGCTGTTGATGGGGCCGGAGGCAGACCCTCAACAACAGATTAGGTGGCCTGTGATCACAGCCAGACCTGAGCACTGTGACAGTTACACAACCGGCAGCTGTCGGCTCTATTTTGTATACAGCTCGCCAGTAGTGTTACAAAGTATCTCAAAGCAGAATACTGTATTCTACTTAGGAATGCTAAGTATCAAAGCCCCCTGTAAATGAAAAAAATAACCCCTAAGTGCCCCCTAGTTTAAAAAAAAAATAAAGTTTTTAAAAGTTGGAAAAAAAAAGTTTAAAGAAGTTAAAAAAAAAGTTGAAAAAAAGAAAATATAGTGTCCAGGAGGCTATTAAACATAGGAGACAAACATACCACATTCTAAAATTGTATTTCACTCCTTGTATTTTGTAAATTATAATTCCCAAAATAAACGGAAATCCCAGACATATGATATACCCTATCAATCTGGAAAAATATAAGAATTTACTATGAATTACTTTCTGTTAAGTCACACTAATTATGTAGAAGACAGGAATCACCAGCACTAGGTAAGTTGTATCGAATAGTGAATGTCCATTTAATCGGACAAATCGTCCAATAAACGTAATCAACGTTTCGGGACCGCGCAGGGTCCCTTCATCAGGGCAATAATGTGACCAATAATAAGGTCACAATATTGCCCTGATGAAGGGACCCTGCGCGGTCACGAAATGTTGGTATTACGTTTATGTGACGATTTGTCCGATTTAAATGGACATTCACTATTCGATACAACTTACCTAGTGCTGGTGATTCCTGTCTTCTACATAATTAGTGTGACTTAACAGAAAGTAATTCATAGTAAATTCTTATATTTTTCCAGATTGATAGGGTATATCATATGTCTGGGATTTCCGTTTATTTTGGGAATTATAATTTACAAAATATTTGTCCGATTTAAATGGACATTCACTATTTGATACAACTTACCGAGTGCTGGTGATTGCTGTCTTCTGCCATTTTCATGTGCACGGCGCCATCCGTGATTGTCATTTTGAGCACCGCTATCTATGATTTGGGCCAGGTATGCTGTAAGGAGTGCAGAGGGACTTGCTGTTTTTTTTGAACACATTATTATTGCCAAAACTTAACCTCTTGCCGTCCGCCCGTAGTAAAAAAACGGACGGACGGCACTGCAGCATCTGCGGGTTGCCGTCTCCAGACGGCAATTTTTTTCTGCTCGCGCGCGCCCCCTAGCGGGCACGCACGGGCAGAAAAGACCCGCTAAATGCACACACCCGTTACCGGGTGTTTCACATATAGGCGATCGGCGGGTCCA